CTTTTAAGCCCCGTACACACGGGCCGAATATCAGCCAAAATCAGCCTACCTACTGAATCAAATACAGTATATACCAGCTGACATTCAGCCCGTGTGTACAGGTCCTTGCTCAACAGAAGATCTCACGGTCGGCTTCTATCAAATGTGCATGACGGAAAACTAGAAGCCAATTGGCATCGAATCAGGGCTCTCAGTCAATGCGCTGACTAGTGTGTTTTGGTGGGAAGGTGGTCCCCTTTTCAGAACACAATAGCTCAGTGGGGAGATTACTGTACTAACATTGCATAGTAAGTGCAGAGACCTCCTGACAAGTGCCTCAATTTTTTTTTTTTTGATCAGCCCGCTGGGTAAACGAAAAAAAAAAACCCCATAATGTGTGTACCAGGCATTAAACCTATTTACCATGATTATACATGTGTGCTTTCCCTGCCATATCTAGAGGTGAGCACTGTCCACTTTGAATGTTCAAAGTAGGGTTTACTGGTCCTATTAGAGGTACCCATGTTCTTGTGCTTGGAGTATCTTCTCAATCCTTGAGAAGAACCAGCGTGGTGGCTTCCTTGGAAACTTATTATCAAGGTATATAATCCCCAGAGAACTTTAAAAACACATACAACAGGCTGCAGACTCCTCGTGCATTACTGTCTTAAAAGTTTATGACATTAATTCACGAAGAGTCTGCACCCTCTTGTATGTGTTTTTACAGTTCTCTGGAATTTTCCCGATTCATGGAGGTCTGCACCCGGGGAAGCATTACATTTTGATAACTGTTTGAAGTACCCTGGTTTGAGCGCTGGAGTGTTTTTTTTTTATATAATCCCAGGACTGAATTATTATGCCAATAATTTCAAAGGTTTTGAATGTATGGACAGTCATTCACAGGAGAATTTGACCTGCAGTGAACAGCATTTAGACCTGACTTTGATTTCTTCTATGCTGCATCAACAGGCTTCAATGATATGTTTGCACTATATTACTGTTTATCTTTGCAGCTTTCTGTGTCTCCTGCCTGCTCAGTGGCAAGTAAATCAGCAGTGTACTAATATACTTACTTTTCCCATGTTTGGCAGAAATTCCAGTTTAGATAGTTAAGGGTTGCAGCACTCTATTGTACTATGACAAAAATATTCTCAGGAATAGGGGAGGGCTGCTAAATGGAAAAAAAAGGTCAGCTGTCCCATAATGCCTCTCTAGTTTTGCAAATTAGGCAGCCATAGAAAGTTTCAGCGGTGTCAAGTTATGCTCCCAGTTTCAAGCATGGTTTGGAATTAATGGGCCATTTCTGAACTGCTGAAAGGCCCTTATGAGTACCACTGGAGGAGAGATATGCTTACTCCTGAACAGGAAACTTCTCTAAAATGGGAGGAGAAACTTCCTACAATTGGGCTTGAACCTCTCCTCTACTTTGGTGCAGAAGAAAGTTCCAAAACACCACATATGTGCCGTTGTCAGCATCCACTGAGCATTGCAGTGGGTCCTTGTGTTGGAGTAACTTGTGTAAGGGGAAATATCTGTCTATGGCATACCTAAAGCTGGACATAGACAGATTGAAATTCAGCTGGTTCAGCAGGAACCGGCTGAATTTCCATCAGTGCATGACTGTCCTTGTTTGACAGAAGTCGATCATTAGACTGACTGTTGACAAACCATCAAGATGGAAAATTGTTGTTGACGGAAAGGGGGGATTGCCCCATCCATCTAGTTTGTGTGGATTAAGGAAGCTGTTAATTTTTTTTTTTTTTTAGTTCAGCCTGTTGGCTGAATGAACGAAAAAACTACTCATTCATGGCCAGCTGAACTCTAACTGCCCTCTTGGCCAAAAGTAGTATAAGTGAAAATGGTTCCTGATAGACTGAATTTTACTGAATAATCGCGGTAGCCCATGTAATGTCTGTTGGATGAAGCTGTATAGCACCCCAGCTCTGCAGTGCAAAACAGGTGATAGTACAGCAATCTTACTTGATGGTTTACACCGGCAGTTCTGTGCTTTCTCAGAGAACTAATCATATATCAATTGACAATTTAACAGGACAGTTTAGAAATTTGGTTGTTATAGGTACCCTCTTCAATGTTAATTTGAAAGGGGACCTCCTAAAGCATGCCAATATTATTGTATGAAGTATGATTACAACATTGCATTTTATTTTGGGAGGCCTAACTGTTTTTCTCATACTGGGTTTAGAAAACTCCTTTAGAAATAGAAATAAAAATCTTATTTTTTATGTTTGCTGCAACAGTTTATTAGACAGCCATTCCTTTTTAGTGTACCTACCATTAAAAGGCTTAATTTTACTTTATCCAGTTTTATATGGTTTGATCCTCAACATATTATTTTTTATTACACATGAAAAACATACTTTCTGCTAGTGCATCTTCTTCACTTATCTTTCTATATTGCACAAATCTTTGACTCCGGCCCTGTAAAATTAAAAGAGATTACACCCTTTAAATAGGCTTTTTATTCTTTAGCTAATGGAGTTGTCCAATTTTAACACCAGAGGCAGTGGCACAGTTAGAGAAAGAGTACAGCATGTGATGTTGCCATACATTGGATGCACTCAATACACTAGGCATATAGGAAGAGATAATTTAAATATGATATACCAATAATGGCCCAAATGAGTAAACATGACCATTGCTGCCAATAGTATTAGAACTAAAAACCCCTGGCCATCGAAATGTAGATTAGACATAATGACACACACTAAAAAAAGATGTAACCCTTTTGCTGTGCAGGACTTTCTAGCAGCTTTTTGAGGGTATATTTGTGCATCATATTAGGCTTTATGTGTCAAAAAGCTGGCCACACATGGCACAATCTGCTTTTTATTTTTTTCAACAACTATGCATTGTGAACACCTGTCTTCACAAACCATTATAATATCCAATCAGTTAGGCCCTAGCACTATCTGGTTGTTTTTAACATGTATGTCAAGCTAAAAGTTTAATTTTTTTTAGCTTTGGATTGAGTGGGGAAGAGTTAGATTCCCTGTTGCATTTTGCTACTATCCAGGCTCTATGAGATTTACCCTTTACTCCTGTCATGCTGACATTGTTTTACGAGACAGGGACTGAGAGCGGTAGAAAGAGTCAGTGTAAAATGGGCACTTAGGTAGTTTGCAGAGGTGCCTGATGTGGTTGTTCAAAAGACGGGCACATAACTTCAGTAAAACATCCAATTACTTTATTATTCAGTGAAATAAAGTTGATGTTTTACTAAAGCAGACAACTTGTGCCTATCCTTTGAACAACCACATTAGGCATCTTTGCCAGTTGAACTACCTATGGGCCCTTTTTGCGGTGACTCTTTCTACCACTTTGTACACCCACCTGAGAACCCCCACAGAGCATCCAGGATGGAAATGCCCGAGGCATAGAGAGTGACCACACTGACTCTGTGGTTTTCTTCACCCGTGCACTAAGAAGCCGCGTGTTTCCTCCCAGCTGATTGACTGCAGCCTCAACAGTTCTAAATCCTTTTTTTCTTTTATTGTGGAAGCACTTTGTCCTTGTTTCTGAATTAATCTACTGCACTATAAGGGCTCTCCCGCCTCTCTATCTTTTCTTTTTTGGTGGAAACTGTGAGCTTTACCAGGAACCCCTGGCCAGTGCCTCAGGATCCTATGTTCTGCAATCTATCACCACACCCCAGACCTTATTGGGACTGAGGATAACTCTCCAGCAGCAACACAGACAGAAATAAAAACAATTTTTTAATACTAGAGGAAGGCTAGGACCCCATCACATTTTTCCTTACTTCCTGTCTAGTAAAAAGTTCTCAGAGCAGAAAGTGAGAAAAGATCTCTTTCAGAGTTCTATTCCTTCTCTGCTCTAGTCAAACTTTTGGCTTGACATACATTGTTTAGAGATTGTAACTTGTGTAGCAAATTTTAAAAACTGTAGCTATTTCCAAAGAGCAATTGATCACACCTTTTAGATAAATTCTACCAGACAGGTTTGATTGGTGGCTGTGCAGAAGTAATATCAGTTCTTTAAACGGGCACTTTGATAAATCCCAGTGTAGACAGAAGGAGATGACCATGGTATAGCTTCTGGGGGGAAAAGGCTACATGCAGTGCAAAAACACCAAGGCGATTATGACCAGTTATTATCCCTGATGAGTTTTTACATTTCTGAACATTTAAAAAAAAAAAATTTGAAGGAATGGAATATGATGGGTTTGGCTAAAAAAAACTTCTATTAGGGCTTTTCAGAACCTTCAAATAAGAGAAGAGCTTTCAAGACAAACTAAAAGTGCACACTGCCATTGGTACCTTCACTCCCTCAAATTTATTCTGCACCCATAGTCTTTTAAAATATCACTGTTTATAGTTAATCTACTTCTTGATTGCATTCATCCCTGGATTTAATTTATTTGTACTTAAATATCTGAATAAAGACTTGTTCACTATCACATCTAGACATCTGCTTTATATGAAGGCACCTCTCTTTACCGCACCTGGATATAACCAAGCTGTAACATGCCTTGTGCACATCAAGATACAAATAACATGGTGTGTCTGCACCAGCATAACTGCTGACATTGTATTATCTATTAAATAGGGATCTTGGTCATGTTTAAGTTTGGTTTTCTTCTTAAATTCTCCAGCTTGTTTTAGTTTTACATCCCAAGCCATGTCATCTAAATCAATGTTATTGCTATCAGTTCCCCACCATGTCAGAAACAGAGGGATTGTGGTTTAATTCTCCAAAGTCACTGTCTCCTGACTCCAGTGCAGTGGTAGATGTGGAGACTCACTTCTTCTGCCACCATCTGTTCACACAGTCTGACATGAGCAACTATGGCTGTCCATCCTAGTCTGTTGACTTTATGGCTTGGAAAGCTAGCTCCCATATCCAAGATGGCAAATGTGCTTTGGGTCATGAGCGAAGCGACAATTATATAGAATTTAGTGCTCCCTGGAGGTGGCGGTCTTGTGATCAATATAACTTCACCTCTATACTAGTTCGTCTGCAGTCCTATAGTATGTGGGGCCAGGCTAGTATGGAGCAAACATTATGGGTGCTGGAGAAGGCCGAATAGCAGCTGCTGGACTCCGGAAAAGAGCTGGTCCCAGGAGAGGGGTCTGGAATAGGGCAGCAGCTGTGGTAGGACGCAGAGCAAGAGGACTAGGTAGAGTGCAGACCGCCGTCGGCGTCAGAGGACTCGGAAGAAAGCGAGCAGCCAAAGTCTTAGTCAGATGTTTATGTAGAGCCAGTCTGGTCTATAAACATAAAATAAGAAAAATTACCATAAATCTTACAAAAATATATTTTCTTCCTTAAGCTGTAAAGTTATGCTAACTTCAATGCTGAATGCAGAAAACAAGACATCATGTTATGATGCTAAGTTTACCTTTAAAGTGTGATTAAAGGCATTTAAAAAAATAAAAACATGTTATACTTACCTGCTCTGTGCGGCGGTTTTGCACAGAGCAGCACGGATCCTGCTCTTTCTGTGTCCCCCACCTGTGCTCCTGGCACCTCCCTCCTGGATGGGAAAGTGGAGAATGAGTGCATGTATGTGATTGTAGATTTGTGTGTGTGTATATATATATATATATATATATATATATATATATATATATATATATATATATATATATACACACACTGCTCAGCATAAATGAGTGCACCCCTTTTGAAAAGTAAAATCACCCTTTTTGAAAAGTACAATTTAATCAATATCTCAATGAACACAAGAACAATTTCCAAAATTTTGACAAAACTGAGCTGTTATAAAACATTTGTTTAGCTCATTACATGAAAGTAAGGTTAATAATATAACTTAGATTACAAAATCTTCAGTTTTACTGAAATTAGTTGATGCAAAAATTATTACACCTCACAACAAAAACTACTACATCTAGTATTTTGTATGACCTCCATGATTTGTAAGGACAGGACCAAGTCTTCTAGGAATGGAATGATCAAGTTGGCGACATATTGCTACATCTGTCTTTTTCCATTCTCAGGAGAGATACAGCATTTAGCCAATGAATCACTTTCACCCTGTTCTTCTTAAGAAATGCAACAGTGGCCTTAGATGTGTGTTTTGGATCATTATGTTGGAAAAGTGCACGACGACCAAGGGCACAGTGTGATGGTAGCACCTTCTCTTTCTATATAGAGCAGTACATCTGTGAGTTCATGATACCATCAATGAAATGCAGCTCCCTGACACCAGCAGCACTCATGCAGCCCCGCAGAAGGACACTGCCACCACCATGTTTCACTGTAGGCACAATTTCTTCAGTGTTGTCACATGAAAAGATATAATAAAATATATAAAATATATACTGCTCGAAAAATGTAAAGGAACACTTTGAAAACACATCAGATGTCAAAATCTCCTGCTGGATATCTATACTGATATGGACTGGGAAATGTGTTAGGAACGTAAGGATGCCCCATCGTTTGATGGAAATTAAAATGATCAACCTAAAGAGGACTGAATTCAAAGACACCCCGAAAATCAATGTGAAAAAATGATGTAGCAGGCTAGTCCATTTTGCTGAAATTTCATTGCAGCAACTCAAAATGGTCCTCAGTAGTTTGTATGGCCCCATGTGCTTGTATGCATGTCTGACAACGTTGTTGCATGCTCCGAATGAGACGACGGATGATGTCCTGGGGTATTGCCTCCCAGATCTGGACCAGGGCATCACTGAGCTCCTGGACGGTCTGAGGTGCAACCTGGCGCCGTTGGATGGACCAAAACATAATATCTCAGTGGCGTTCTATTGTATTTAGGTCAGACGAGCGTGGGGGCCATTCAATGGTATCAATTCCTTCATCCTCCAGGAACTGCCTGCATACTCTCGCCACATGAGGCCGGGCATTGTTGTGCACCAGAGGAACCCATGACCCACTGCACCAGTGTAGGGTCTGACAATGGGTCCAAGGATTTCATGCCGATACCTAATGGTAGTCAGGGTGCCATTGTCTAGCCTGCAGAGGTCTGAGCGTCCCTTCATGGATATGCCTCCCCAGACCATCACTGACCCGCCACCAAAACGGTCATGCTGAATGATGTTACAGGCAGCATAACATTCTCCATGGCTTCTCCACACCCTTTCACGTCTGTCACATTTGCTCAGGGTGAACCTGCTCTCGTCTGTGAAAAGCACAGGGCGCCAGTGGCGGACCTGCCAATTCTGGTGTTCAATGGCAAATACCAATAGAGCTGTATGGTGCCAGGTAGTGAGCACAGGGCCCACTAGAGGACATCAGGTCCTCAGGACATCCTCATGAAGTCTGTTTCTGATTGTTTGGTCAGAGAAATTCACACCAGTGGCCTGCTGGAGGTCATTTTGTAGGGCTCTGGCAGTGCTCATCCTGTTCCTCCTTGCACAAAGGAGCAGATACCGGTCCTGCTGATGGGTTAAGGACCTTCTACGGCCCTGTCCAGCTCTCCTAGAGTAACTGCCTGTCTCCTCGAGTCTCCTCCATGCTCTTGAGACTGTGCTGGGAGACACAGCAAACCTTCTGACAATGGCACGTATTGATGTGCCATCTTTGAGGATTTGGATTGCCTGTGCAGCCTCTGTAGGGTTCAGGTATCTCTTCATGCTACCAGTAGTGACACTGACCCTAGCACCAAATGCAAAACTAGTGAAAAACAGTCAGAAAAGATGAGTAGGGAAATAAATATCCACAGTCTCCACCTTGCATTAACACCAAAGCAGCTGAAACTGATTAACAACCCCCTCTGCTACTTAACTCTCCAGATCAATATCCCAGGAGTTTAATTGACTTGATGCTATACTCAGATTAAATTGTGTTCCTTTAATTTTTTTGAGCAGTGTATATATTATACAGTATATCTTTTTTTTTCAAGATTAGGCACTGTATTCATTTTTTATGAATATGATTATTTGACCCAATTACAAATCCTTACATATTGTTAAATTCCATTGTTGTTTCTTTGTAGCCCTGATGAAGGGGGTATTTGCTGGCCCCCACAATGAATTGGCTTTTTGTTAAAATGTTTTATCCTATAATCAGTTTTTGGTGTGGTACTTCAATCTCAGATTTTTTTTTTATTGTATACTTATTCTTATATTTGGTATACACTCACCGCTAAAGCAGCGTTCTTCTGCAGCTTGCTGAAAGGACTGTATTTGGGCTTTGGAGGTTTTCCAGCCAATCTGTCTTTGTGTCTTCTGCTGTTCATGTGCTGATACAAGAGAAAAAGAATCAGATACTATAATACTAATCCTGTCTGTCAGGAGCAAAGAAAAACACATTGACTGCTGTGTATAAGGCATGTTATAGTGGAACTTCACTCTCTCAACCAATATTGACTATTTTTAATCCTTATGCTACTAGCATTAGTAAATAGAGAGGAAAGAATATCATATTTACTTGTTTTAAACTTTTTTTTTTTTCCATTTTAGTTATTTCCTGTTTTCAATACCTAGGCGAATTAGGTCATACATCCCAGGAGTCTGCAGTAGGAGAGGAGGTGTTTTCTTAGCTAAGCACACCCTCTTTCCTTCATGCCTGAGCTAAGGGCAGATGGTTTCCAGGAAGTAAATGCTTCATGAATCATCTGCCCTTACTCAAGATGGCCCCTATTTTCTACTTTCACTTCAGGTTTGAAATTTAAAAATAAAAGCTGATTGGTTGCCATGCACAGCTTCTCCAGTTTTAATAAATGTCCATTGCGCTTGTTGGTGTTTCTGTGCTCCCCTCCAGGCCCAGTGACAGGGCTGTCCAATGCAAGCTGATTCACTCAGGGTCTACAGTTTCCAACTAATAGTCTGATTTTATGCTGTGCAGGAGATGATAGGAATATAAATTATGAATCTCAGCTAGTTAAAATAGCAACTTTTGTTGAAATTCCCCCCCCCCCCCCCATATTGAACATATACATTTTTAGGGTGTAAACAAGACTTTAACCTCCTGCTGGTTGATAAAAAAAAACACAACACACACTAAATATATGTGTACTTACCTATTTTAACCTGCTTCAATCTGGTCATGTGATTCTGCAGCTCTGTGTAAGCTCTCAAAAACAGCTCTGAGTTCTGGGAGCCATACATCACAAATTAGTGTCACAACTTGTCATCACCTAGGCACTGTGGTTCCCAGAAGGATGCAGTTTCGGTGGTCACTAGTAGGTGTCTCCCAGCAGCTGGACAGTCAGACTAATTAGGCTGCACCTGACGTAGGCTGCTGGGAGGTATATACTCCATAAGCCTGGGTTCACATATATGTGGTGCAGTATATTGCATGTGATTTGCACAGGAACCGCACCGCATTCCTGTGCAAATCACATGCGATTTGTGTGTGGTGCGATTTGAGCCATACATTTTGTATGGCTCTAATCGCACTGCACCCGCACCAAAGAGAGGTGCAGGACCCTTTTTTGGGTCCACATTAGAATCGGATCACATAGGTATTCACACCTATGTGATCCAATTCTGCACATCGCACCGCATTTTGCGGACCCATTTCGGGGTGTTGTTAACTTAAAATACACACCCACAGCGGTTCGCATGAACGGGGTGCGATTCTGATGCGGTGCGGAATTCGCACAGAAAATGCTGCAAATTCTGCACCGCATCAGTGTGAACCAGGGCTGACTGAGGTTCAGTACTCTAGTATTCTTTCTACAAACCATGTCCCTGCCTGAGCTTGATCCTTGTACCTGACCCTGAGACCTGCTCCTGTGCCCTTCTCCCCGGATCCTGCTCCCAGTCCCTTGCTCCCTGCTTCCCTTGTCTCCTGTCCCTGTCCTGACCTTGTCTGGCCCATGTGTGTTCCCTTCATTTTGTATATACTGTAGTTAGGTTGTTATTTGTGGTTTTGCCCTGCCACGTTTATTTTACCACTTGCATTGCTTATGCTTTACTGGTGTGGGTGTTGGAAGTGTGTCCTTATTTTAACCTTCTTCAGTCTGATTCCTTAAAGCGGAGTTCCATTCAAAAGGGGAAGTTCTGCTTTATGGACGGCTCCCCCGCTCCCCATTAAGGATTGGCAATTTTTGGGAAGTGGGAGCGGGTACCTGTCAAATTCGGGTACCCGCTCCCACATCCGGTCCAATCGCTGCGGTGATCGGAAACAGAAGGTGTCCTCCCTTCCTCCCTGTAGTCTTTTGGGACACGTGACAGGTCCCAGAAGACTACAGGACCATTCACGAAGTGCAGCGCTACTCGCGCATGCGCAGTGGGTACCCAGCTGTGAAGCTGCAAGCTATCACAGCCGGGTGCCCACACTGAAGATGCCGGCCTCCTGGAATACAGGACGGCCGGTGAAACGGGCTGCGGGGGACACACCACGGGACCAAGGGACAGGTAAGTGGCTGTTTTTTAAAAGTCAGCAGCTACAGTTTTTGTATTTTTTGATAGGTCGGGTGGAACTCCGCTTTAGTGTATAGCCTACTGATCTGATCACCCTTGCTGGTTGCCTGCATCTGTGACACCTAGGCTCCCATAGCCCACATCTATGTCAGTGCTCACTCCTCTTCCCTGCTGCAGTCACAGCTCTGACTCCCCTGTGTCAAAGAGCAGATGCTGCACAGGAGAGGAGAGAGAACTGACAACTGTCGGACTGTGGGAGCCAACAGGTAATGTCATGGATCCCAGAACGCAGAGCTGTTGTTGAGTACAAAGAGCTGCTGGATCAGAACAAATTAAAATGAGGTCACTATACAGGTCTTTTTTATACAGGTTAGGCAGGAAAGATAGGAGGAGTGGGGAGGGGACACTCTAAAGAATACATATAGTTAGGCCTTTCTTCCACTTTAAGATGGCTTAACACTGCCCTGGGAACCGAAGAAGAAGAATCACTGGTTGGATCTCTACAGCTAGCGATTGTATTCTGACAGCTGACACCTGACATTGTCAGAATACCCAAACCGTGCCAACTTGTGAAGTCCACAGCCACCAGTCAAAATGTATCCTGTAAGTGAGCAGAGTAGACATAAGGGTCGACTTACCTGTTTGAGCTGGGTTTCAGAGTTAACATGGATCTCACACACGGGGCAGTTGAAGGCTTTGTTCTGGATACCAATGCTGCTCTTGTTGCCAATTCTCTTAGGTTTTCGGGTTGCACGGCTCAGCGCTTTGCCCCTGCTCCTCCTTGGGTGAGTGCTTTGTCCTTCCAAGATGGATTTATGCTTTGCACCTGTTACAAAAACAATAAATTACTGCCATAAGTTGCCACGTGTCCTGATCTTTAGGAGGTGCGCATCAGATATAAGCTGGGTGGTTTATAAAAGCGTTCATATGCTCCTCCCACAAACCATAACATAATGACTGTTAATACAGGTCTCCAAATGCGGTTCAACTCACCACAACTGGCCTAGGAAACCAGGGCTGTGTGACATGGTAGAGCTGTGCAAACCTCAGGACAGGATGGACAGAAGTACAAATTCTTTGTCAGATAAAGAATAATGCAATTGTATGTATTTCATGTGTGGATTTAGTCCTCATGCACACTGGACGTTTTTTTTTGGCTTTTGAAGTTTTTTTTTCTACAGCCAGTAAACCTCCCAGCATGTTATCCTATGTGTTCATGCACACATAGACTGTAATCAACGTTTTTTGGCAGGGACGTTTTTTGTCTGGAAAAAAACCCCCAGGACTAGTGGCTTTCTAGAGGAGTTTTGCTTAGCTGTAAAAATGCTCTAACGCTGAAAAACGCAGTAAAACGCCACAAAGCAGTGTTTTTGGAAGTTTTTTTGACCCCCCAATTTTTTTTTTTGGTGAAAAAAACGCTAAAAACTGCAAACGCAGGAAAACGCCGCTAAATGCTAATGCAAAAACACTAAAAAAGCTGGAAAACTCACATTGTTAACATGACTTTACACAGCTAACATTGCCAGCGTTATCAAAACGCCCCGTGTGCATGGAGCCTTAGAGCTCTGCTTTAAAAGTTAGTATACTGTACATGTTTGCTAATATGCCACCATTTTCTGGCATGGGGACCCTCCACATGAAATACATACAAGGATGATTTTTCTCTGCTGCAGCTCATTACCACCTAACCTGGGCACTATGTGATTGGATAGTGAAAGGAGAAGCAGCTCATCTCTGTTCTCTTCTCCTATCAGTATGATGCCTGCACTGCAGCACAACCGATTGGCTCCTGGTTTCCTTGCTTTACCCTACCCCAATCTGAGTTCTGCTGTGCAGCGACTATAAGACTGCCAAGTCACAACTAAGTACTTAAACTTAAGGGGGGCTACAGCAACTGGACATCTAGCCACCGCAGGTGGCCATCCCGAAATCCCTAATACATGGTCAGTGTTCTGTTTCCTGCTTTTGTCATTTGCACTTCTTATTTGTTGGAATAAAGTTCCCTACGGTATCACACTATGTGGTCTCCTTTATTGGTCCCTATTTTGTGAGGGGCATTCACAGAGACCGCACTAAGGGTGAGCCCCTAAGGTGATACGCATCAAGGATCCCTGAGTGCTGCATGCAGATGTGACTGGGAGTATCCTGACCTGGCCTGACCTGATCTGGGAAGTGGATGACCGGAATCATACCTATTGAGATAGGTTATATCTCAAATGCTTTTTTACACGCACTTCTGGTGAGTGCGCATTTCATTCATATTTGAACACCTGCCACTGGAAGTAACCCTCCACGCACGCTTATCGGGATCATTCAGGATCCTCACGTGGGCAATACATCTGGGACTATTTTGCACTTTATTCACCGATTGGTGACATCATTTATGTACAAATTTTATCTATTTATTTATCTGCATTTTTTATTGGTTTATATAGGTTTATTCCCGTGAACAATCTATTATTGCTGGATATCTATACCTATATACTGAGCACATGTTATTAACTTTCTCATGTTGCATTATTTTAAAGAGACTGCATTTTCTTATTTTTCTTTTTAATTGATTGACGAGATTTATGTTACATATTTAGTGTTTAGCGCTGCACCTTTATATTTGAGATTTACATTGGAAGGTTCTGTTTGGTTACCTTTTTTGGTGTCTCAGCGGCTATTTTTCCTTTGGATAGCGCTCGCATGTTCACTCTTTAAGTACTTAAACTGGTTGCATTTAAAAAGATTACATTTAAGGATGTATAAATGACTACAGAGCTGCGCTAGTTTATCCCTTTTGTATGTCCCTGGAGTTCAGCTTTATTGATAGGATTTGCAAGACAGATGAAAATGGCAACATAACCTACAAGTATATTTACAATTCAACAAGGAAAGTTCTCTAATGCACTCTGACCCTTCCTGAACTAAGATGCACTAATAATATAAATAAAAAAGATAGTGAGCGCTCCTATTGTGACAGCAGCTAAAACACCAAAGGTACCACTAAAGCCTCAAGGTAAATGACAGAAAATGTTTGTAGCGCTATGGTAATATAATGCAAAATGATATAAACCAATAGAAATAAAAATATGCCATAAAGTCTTAGTAAGTAAATGTGAAATGTCCGTATATAAAAAGTTCCATTAAAATAAACTTTCAAAAGGTGAAAACCAGCAGCAGATGAACTTGTGACATCCGTAAGTAGTAAAAGTGCGCACTCACCGGAAGCGCATTGAAAATGCGCATATAATGTAGGCCGTGAAGATATCAATATGTGGACAGGATAATCCGGTGAACTTTTCCTCTATGGTGTAGTCATCAAGTTGTAAGGAATAAGGTATATCATTTATACTATACCCTGTGCCCTATGTTATTCTGTATATAAATACATTCGCTTACATACTACACTATGGGCACCTGTTTTTTGGCTCCTTTATGGAGCTATTGGTTTACAGGTTACCCTACTGTCACTATACCACCAGAGGAAAAGGAGCCCTGCACTCAGGTTGAGCACCTATATCCATCCTTAAGGGGGACCTCTGGATTCAGCAGATACCTTATTCCTTCCAACTTGATGACTACACCATAGAGGAAAAGTTCACCGTATTATCCTGTCCACCTATTGATATCTTCACGGCCTACATTATATGCGCATTTTCAATGCGCTTCCGGTGAGTGCGCACTTTTACTACTTACGGATGTCACAAGTTCATCTGCTGCTGGTTTTCACATTTTGAAAGTTTATTTTAATTGAACTGTTTATATACGGACATTTTGCATTTACTAAGACTTTATGGCATATTTTTATTTCTATTGGTTTATATCATTTTGCATTATATTACCATAGCGCTACACCCATTTTCTGTCATTTAAGATGCACTTATACCCCTCACCCTACCTTCTTCCTTACCCCAGTGGTGGAGCATCATCCCGCTGCAATGTTTACTCCACCATGGCAGAATGACTCATTTGCATTGATTGCACCTGTGCACTTAGGGGTTGATTTACTAAAGGCAAATAGACTGTGCACTTTGCCAAGTACAGTTGCTCCAGAGCTTAGGAAAATAAGACAAAGCTTCACTTTGAAAAGAAAAGCCAATTACATGCGAGGAGAATAAAAAAAACTGCATTTTGTTTGCAGGTGATTGGATGATGGATGTCAGGAGAGCTTCTGCTCATTTACTGAGCTCTGGAGCAATTGCCCTTGCAGAGTGCAACTGCACTTTGCAAAGTGCACAGTCTATTTGCCTTTAGTAAATCAACCCCTAAGTCCCCATGTATCAGATAGATCCAGCACCCTGGCCACACACACATCCATAAGAGCTCAATGTGTAGGTCTGATCAGCACCAAAGAGAATTTCTCCAAAGGGTAGAAAGCACTGCAGCAGGGCAATGCTCTGCTACAGAGGTAAGTATGAAGCTGGGGTAGTGATGATAGTGCAGGTTAGTTCGGGAGGAAAAGGGAGGTGGATTAGAAAACCTACCGTATATACTCGAGTATAAGCCGACCCGAATATAAGCCGAGGTACCTAATTTTACCACAAAAAACTGGGAAAAACTATTGACTCGAGTATAAGCCGAGGGTGGGAACACCAGTGGGAAGAATCGTGCCTCATCATTGGTGTCAATGGGAGGAATAGTGCCCCATCATTGGTGTCAGTGGGAGGAATAGTGCCCCATCATTGGTATCAGTAGGAGGAATAGTGCCCCATCATTGGTATCAGTGGGAGGAATAGTACCTTGTCATTGGTGTCAGTGGGAGGAATAGTGCCCCATCATTGGTATCAGTGGGAGGAATAGTGCCCCATCATTGGTGTCAGTGGGAGGAATAGTGCCCCATCATTGGTGTCAGTGGGAGGAATAGCGCCCCATCATTGGTGTCAGTGGGAGGAATAGTGCCCCATCATTGGTGTCAGTGGGAGGAATAGTGCCCCATCATTGGTGTCAGTGGCAGGAATAGCGCCCCATCATTGGTGTCAGTGGGAGGAATAGTGCCCCATCATTAGTATCAGTGGCAGGAATAGTGCCCCATCATTAGTATCAGTGGGGGGAATAGCACCCCATTATTGGTGTCAGTGGAATAGTGCCCCATCTTTGGTGTCAGTGGGAGGAATAGTGTCCCATCATTGGTGTCAGTGGGAGGAATAGTGTCCCAACATTGGTGTCAGTGGGAGGAATAGTATCCCATCATTGGTGTCAGTGGGGGGGGTGGAGGAATAGTGCCCCATCGTTGGTGTCAGTGGGGGGGAGGAAAAGTGCCCCATCGTTGGTGTCAGTGGGGGGGAGAAATAGTATCCCATGATTGGTGTCAGTGGGGGGTGGAATAGTGCTCCATGATTGGTGTCAGTGGGGGTGGAATAGTGCCCCATCATTGGTGTCAGTGGGGGGGGGAGGAATAGTGCCCAATCGTTGGTGTCAGGGGGGGGAGGAAAAGTGCCCCATGGTTGGTGTCAGTGGGAGGAATAATGCCCCATCATTGGTATCAGTGACACCAATGATGGGGCACTATTCCTCCCACTGACACTTGCTGACCCCTGTTCCAGTATGGTGCTGCTGCAGCCAGCATATGTGGTTGCAGCAGCACCTAAGCACGGCACACTTACCTGCATCTCCTTCACTCGATTTTCGCGGGGCCGCTCAGCTCCGCCTCCTCGCCGGTGATTGGCCGCCTGTGTGCCTTTCCTGAGCTACAGTTCTGGCGGCCAATCACCGGTGAGAAGGCGGAGCCGAGCAGCCGCGCGAACATCCAGTGGACGAACCAAATGAAGGAGCAGCCGCGCTTCCTGGACCGGATCTTCATGGGACCGGAGCCAGGTAAGAGACAGCAGCCCCCTGCCCACCCCTGTACTTACCGTAGTTTCCCTTCTGTTGGAAGGGGGGGGGAGCCATCTGCAGACGTTGACTCGAGTATAAGCCGAGGGGGCCGTTTTTCAGCACAAAAAATGTGCTGAAAAACTCGGCTTATACTCGAGTATATACGGTATTATGGTAGAGTTGTTCTTTAAAGTAACACCTGGGGGCCGATTGGGGAATCCTGTTACACGTAACTAAGTGATCTTGCTGAGTGCTGAGATCCAGAGGAAAACCCCTTTTATGAATTTCTGTATAGCAGCACTCCTTTAAGGAAAAATTACTTTTCATGGATGCAGAGATTAAAGTGTTACTAAACCCACAACAGTAAAATCAGTCTGTGTATGCAATAAGGCATGCCTGTTATACTCATTGTGGAAACTAAGGGGTTAATCCTCTGCATCATGTAAAAAGGCTGTTTGATCCTGTCTTCTCTGCCCCTCCTCTTGTTCAACTGACCACCTGATACAGACTGAATCCACGGTCACATGCACATGTTCAGTTTGGTGTGTATTGCTAGAGAGTTTTTTTTTTTTCTTGGGAGAGTGCATATGATCAGCACAGGGCCAATCAGCACTGTCCAGACAGAGGGTCAGGACTTTCACATCCTCCTAGATGAGAAAAGGTATTTAGCAGTTTATATTTACTAAAATAATTGCATTTCCATGTTCTGAGTACTGTGGGAGACCAGATATAGTGAATGCAGGGTCCGGGGTTTAGTACCACTTTACGAATTTATGCAACACATGTTACTTTTTGCACACTGTACACAAAAGGTTTTTTTTTTTTTGCTTGAGGAAAGCTGACAAAGTTAAATCACTTTAGGTCCGTGTGGTCATTAAAAATATCATAACTCACAAAGGGTCAAAGTTATATGATTTCTCTGAAAACCAATCCATGGCAGATTGTTTTAAAGAGGGCAGCTAAGGTAAGGTAAACTTGCTTCCTCCTGAATGCCTTCTTTTTTTGGGGGGGGGGGGGGGGAATTTACAATGAGACTAATGCGCTGCACTAACTTGAAAGGTCAAGTTTCAACTTGACATCCGGAAGTCTGGGATCAGCAAGGAGTTTTTTTCCCCTGTAGGAGCAAACTGGATCATGCTTTGCTGTGGGTTTTTTTTTTGCCTTCCTCTGGATCAACTGTGGGTATAGGATTATAACTTTTTTTTTGGTTGAACTGGATGGACTTTTGTCTTTTTTCAGCCAGACTAATTATATGCTGGCAGGCGCCACTTGTCAACTTGACATGTTGCAGCATATGAACAACCCCCGGTGACTGTATTGTAGATTTTAGGTGGGAGGTCATGGGTGGTAAAATTGTGGCTCAATGGTGTGGGGAGGGGCAGAGGAGCTACGCCAGGATATGGAGTAATTAGACATTCCCAGAGGAGGAGAGGACTATAATGAGCAACTAGGGGGGTGGTTGGGTTAGGGAACTGACTCTTGCAAGAGTAGTCACATTTTCCTGCACGTTTTAGAGATACATTGCAACTGAATATACAATGATTTACGGGAAGGAAAAACTCTGCAATTAAGCATTTATAATACCTTAACAGTAAATCACAGGGTAAGTGAGCGCTAAAGTAAAAAAAAGTAAGATTAAAATAAATTAAAATAAAAGCAGCAGCTGAACACCAAAAGGCACCATATAAAACCTTCAAAATAGTCAGAATAAAGCAGGGTGCAGCGCTAAAATGATCCGCTAAATCGTATAAACAGATTATGTTCAACTATCCTCATATAAAATGCAATATAATAGAAAATCACATAAAATCGGTGACAAGGTGCAAATAGAAATGTCACTAATTGGTGACTGATAGGTGTTGGACACTAAAACCAAATACAGTCTATAGTGTGAGTACAAAAAAGATCCCAGATGATCTTCAAAAATCCAGTGGCTGGATCCGTGGATGAGGTGATAAAATATGTAAAGATTGCGCACTCAGCAGATACGCAATCACAATGCGCATTTAGAATAGGTAACCTCAGGATATCAAAGATCCTTATGTAGGTCTGGTCAGATCTGGTCAGATACCCCTCACTGCTTGGTAGTGCTGCCACATTTGGAAATAGCCGCTCTGTAGATGTAAATGGCTCCCACAGGAGTTCAAAAAACAAAGGAGGCCAAATAGTGTGATATCCTTATGACAAGGAGTGTTTTATTCCAAGTAGATACAGCTAGGAGCAAAGAGAAGTACTGACCCATATGAGTATGCAAAATAGCCGCCAGGCCCTCGTGGCGCCGGTCGGCGTGACATCACACCGCTGTAGCCTCTCCCTGGCGCGTTTTGTGCGAAGGCACGTAGTCATAGGGGGTTAGCTTACCTTATTCTGACTATTTATAATACCTCATTTTTCTGTGCTATTACCCTTGCATTTTTTCAAGATGTACTTTATGGTGAGTGCCACAATTTTACCAGTTTTTCCTGATACACAAAAGTATCCTCTGGGTTTTGAGGAATATTTAGAAATATTTTATTGCATACATAGAAATGGAAGTGATTACTTATACCTTTCAAGTGTAGGAAGATGACATTACAATATGTCACCAGTACTAACCGGCACTATGAGCCTCCAGTTGAGAGGCTGAGTTCACAGTAACCTTGCAGGTGGCACAGTATAAGTGCTCTCTATTCTTTCTTTCTTTCTCACTGTCCTGAGTGGAAACACAGTTTTCTTCACAGGCCTTCTGTGGACTATATGGTTCCTCTGGAGCCAGTGAGCCAGTATCCATTAACTCAGCATTGCTGTCTAAGGTCTCTGGAGAGGTACATTCCTCCTCCTGATCAATGGTCCGAGGTTCAGGCGTTGGACTGCAGTGACTTGGCTCCATGTCCAGTTCGCTGAGCCTGGTAATTTCAGCCCGTGCATTTGTTCCTACAAGAAAAACAAAAAGAGACACACAATTACAAACTAAAAGCACTGGATACTTCCATAAGCCTCCAACAGATCTCCTTTTATAGCAATCTAAAAAAAAACCCACATGATTTCTATTTTTTCTGGCCATAATCACAAACTATTATGAAAAAAGGAAATCATGCATGGATTACAAATCATCACAACATGATGGGCTTTATTCCAGAGAAATGCATTGCATTTGATACATTGGGTGTTTAAAGAAAAAGTGCCAGAATTGTACAAAGATGTGAGTATAATGCTTTGTATTACTATTATTGGGTTTTTATTGGATTTGGTCAAGAAAGGACCATGGAAGGAAAATAATTGATAACCAATGCTCCTCATGAAAAGTAACGTTACATTGATAGCGATGTTTTCACATTTTGTTAGGACTTGAGGTCTAGAGTTGGGGGAAGCAGACTGAGACAGGACAGAACACACTGGGGAGAGAAGGTAACTGAAGACAAAAAGACGTTATTTACTAAAACTGGAGAGTGCAAAATCTGGTGCAACTCTGCATAGGTCCCAGGTTTTAGTGCCCGGTTATACGGGTGCGACTTGTCATTTGATTTGATAGTTTCAAATTGTATCACAATTTGCCTCCTTTTGTCTACAATTGAAGCGGTCATATCGGTGCGATTTCCAACTTTGTCGGAGTCTCACCGATTTTGTATGTAGTGCATGCAATTGAATGGGAGCCTGCCATGGGATAAACATGCCAGGGATGTGTCTTGGAAGACAGGTATGTTCCCCCATTGGAGTGTAGTGTCTTTAAGGGGGATGATTTGAATGCTGTTTTGGAATACTCAGGGGTTCTCATCCATGCAGGGTGAGGGGCTCCTGATTGAAAGGTGTGAATTGACTTACAGTTTACAGTTTGCTCAAGACTGGCAAGTCCTTCTATGGGTTCTGAAATTTGAAGGCTTGGAGGCTTGAAGAGCCTAGGTGGGAAAAAGCCTCCAACTCTAAAAACTGGGATTTTGGTCCTGAAAGGGTTAACCCACTTGCAAGAGAGGTTTAAAAAGGAAGCGGAAACAGCCATTAGGAGTCTGTGAGGTGAAGTGTGAGGCCGGACTCATTTGGGAGACAAAGTGGTGGACTGCTCTGACTGAGAACCTGCTAAGTGGATGGTGACCTGGTTTTTAAACCCCTTACACAGGCTATGGGTGTAACCCTGTTAAAGGACACGTTTTACAGGTGGTGAGCCAAAAGATTGATTTTTGCACCAGCAGTTTGGACTGTTTTGTTTCTTATCTGGGTGAAGAAAGTTGTTTTGTTTGTTTTTGAAGCAAGTCTGTTTTTCATTTACAAATGGCTGGAGGTCCCAGGCTCTCCACATTACAGTTGTCATTGCTGACCTCCGTCTCAAAGTACCAGTTACCTGACTATCATGCAGATGCTCCTAATTCAGTAACTGATTCAAGTGTGCAGAGAGTGAAGTCAGAACTCCCAATCTATGTCTTCTGATATCACTCAGCCAGTCCAGGCTCTGGAGAGATCCCGACTTTACAGTTGGGATCCACCCAGTTGTCTAGACCAGCAGCTGGCTCAGCATTTCAGCATGCCGCTGACAGCTTGAACAGCCACTCCCACCCCCTCCACAGCCCAGCACTCCAGTGAATGCTGGGGGAGGCAGAGCAGAGAGCTGGCAACTGACTCTGCTCACTGAAGACTGAGAACTGAGCAATCAGCGGTATTTTTGCTCAGTTCTCAGTTTTAGAAGCAGAGGGGGACAAATGCAGCATCAGACTAATGCTTCATCCACCTAGGTGAGGATATTTATTTTTTCAATGAAACCCATACTTCTCTTTTAAAGCAGCACACTAAGGACTAACATACAGGTGTGTTTACAGGCTGAAAAAATAAACGCCAAATGCCTGTAACAGACGTTTTGTTCTATCCAGTGTGTATGAGGCTTTAGGGTAGAGCACAAATCACACAACACATAACTGAAGAGGTGTGGGGTAGACTGGAGTCGGGAAGTGGAGGGAGGGGGAGGGGTAGGGAATTAGGGGAAAAGGGGGAAAAGTTTTTTAAGCTAAAGAGCACAAATTAATACTTGGAGTGACTTTAAATTGGTGCAGAATTAGATGGGGGGGGGGGGGGGAGGAGAGTAAGTGGACAATCAAATGATAAAGGGAGAGAGGGAGAGGTAGGAATGGACACCAGTGAATAATGGGGAAACCCAGTAAGTAAAGTAAGGGATTTGTAGTAAAGTCAATTGCCAGTAAGTAGTGAAGGTTGGACTAAATAACGTGTAGATGGTCATATGGATTTGTACCCCTGTCTCTTTGCTCTTTCCCCTTTGTGACATGTCTGTGTGTAATAATTAGTGGGTGTGGGATGTATGATCATTTTGTATTGTAAATCAAACTAATAATATCTTAAAGTGGTTGCAAATCTCAGACATATGAACAAAGCACATCCCTCTTTAGTGTGTACTTGTCTCAATTAAGAGCACTAAGTGTCATTTCTGTCTGCTGAGAAAAATGGTGACAAGGAAGGGATCTGCAGTACTCAGCCTGTGATTGACAGTCTCGGCTCCTGTGTACTGTGGAGGAGTGTGTCTCTTCTCTCCAGTCAGCTCTCAGAGCTCTCCTCACTGAGCTCTGCAGTGTGTAATTTCAGCCCTCTGCTCTCTGATAGCTCATACAAGCTGTATAAAGTCTGGACTTTGAACAGATGTAGACAAGAGAGGGCTGCAGATAGACAGGTACAATGTATGTAGGAGGATTTGTTTAATCTCTGTGTATCACCTGAGGTCAGTCACTTCACCGGGTATACTGTATATAAGGGTTCACAACCACTTTAGTTTTTTTCATTATAATGGACTAAGGCCCCTTTCAGATGGGGGGCGGGCCCGTCAGTGGATCCGCTTGCTCAGTGGGGGATTTTTCCTCTGAGCAATTGGATGACAGGTCTGTGTCTGCTCCGCTGCCGCAGAGTGGACACAGACACAGACCCCCGTTTTGTAAGGGGCTCTCGGATGGAAACACACCACCTATCTGTTTCCACTGTCATCCGATCCGATCCTCCGGACAGGCGAGAAACGGATCCCCATCCATCTGTTTTTAGCGTACAGGATCAGATCGGATGCCGGAGGGTTTCAGTGGACACCCACCGCTCCATAAAGAGCTATGGAAGGTCCGATTGGGTCTGCCTGAAATACTGACCGGAGGACCGATCAGACCATCAGTATTAAAGGGGCCTAAATGTAATAGTTCCCATTATTTAGGATAGAAATCAAGGTCCATTCATGTCAGGAAACATCTTGCTTCACATCCATCTGCAGACCAGAGGTTCTCGTATATACAATTTGTGAATAGCAGCCAGAGGCCAGTAAACAAGGCTTTTCCATCTCTCTATTCAGCAGAAACATTCACGGCCTGTGGTAGCTCAAAATTAAAATTTGTGTAATTTTCTCCTAGCTTTTTCTGAGCATGTGGGGACAAAAGGGAGTAGATTCCTGCTGGGACAATCAAGCAATTATCTTCAACACCAAGTTCAAAAGCAATTAACAAATGCTTCTCCAGGCTTATCTCTATCCTCCGACATGGGACATGTTAACATCCATGACGGACATCAAAGAGGATTCTCTTCCTTGTATTACTGTTCAGTTTGATTCTTTAGGCTGGTTGAAGGAGAGGGAGGCAAAATCAGGTTATGTAAGATCTGGAGACTGGCTGCAGTGTAACCATTTCAGTCTGGTTGAGGACATTTCCTTGAAATCTTTATTACTTTTTGTTTAAAAAAAATCTCAAAATGAAATGTAATTTAAACAATTCATTGCAAAATAAACCCTGAAACTAATGGTACCACAAAGTGTGCCTTTCTTGGATGTGGACTGTAATGCTTTGGGCGAACTATGGCTTGTATACAGTTAAACATTTTGAAAGCTCTTTTTAAGATCCCTAGCCTCTAATCATATTACCTAAAACCTTTAAAGTAGAAAAGCAGGAAAAAATGACTGAGCTGTGCCGTTACCAGGTCGCACTATCCAACATTATTATATATACCACCACTGTTAACAGATTTCTTACTAAACTGAAATAATAATCTGTCTGAAGCCCAGCAAACTGAAAAGTTCAATCCACTTTAACCACTTGACCTCTGAAAGGTTTTACTCCCTTCATGACCAGAGCATTTTCGCTATTCAGCACTTTAACTGGCACTTGTGTGGTCATGCAACACTATATACCAATTACATTTGCATAATTTTTTTTTTCACACAAATTGAGATTTCTTTTGGTGATATAAACAAAAAACAACAGAAAAGTTTGAAAAAAAACCCCAATACTTTCTCTTAAAAAACATATCATTAAAAAAAAATCAAATTTCTTCATAAATGTAGGTCAAAATGTATTCTGTTACACGTCTTTGCTAAAGTAAACTCCCAATATCTGTAAATTAATTGGTTTGTATGAAAGTTATATCTACAATCTATGGTATATAAACAGGAATTTAAGCAGCTATGATGCTATACTGTAATGGCAGTGATCAGCAATTTATAGTGTGACTGTAATAGAGTGGCAGGCAATCTGGCGCTAAGAGACACTATCTGGGAGGATCACTAACTGACAATGACACTAATACAGTGATCAGTGCTAATACTGAACACTGTCACTGTACTAATGACAAAGGCTGGGAAGGAGTTAAAGCGGAGGTCCAGTCAGAATTAAAAAAATTAAAAGACAAAACTGTAGCTGCAGACTTTTAAAAAACAGACACTCACCTGTCCCTCGATCCCGTGGTGTTCTCACACCAGCCGGGTTCACCGACCGTCCTGTCTCCTCAGCGCCAGCATCTTCAGTGTAGGCACCCAGCTGTGACAGCTTGCGGCTTCACAGCCGGGTGCCCGCTGCACATGCATGAGTAGTGCTGCGCATTGTGAATGGTCCCACAGTCTCCTGGGACCTGTCACATGTCCCAGAAAACTACGGGGAGGGGCAACTTCCACTTCTGATCACCTAGGTGATAGCAGCGGAGTACCTGTCAAATTTGGGTACCCCTGCTCCCCACAGGTGCCAATCCTTAATGGGCAGTGGGGGACAAAGCCTTAAAGCGGAACTTCCCTTTTGGGTGGAGCTCCGCTTTAACATCTAGGGGCAAGCAAAGGGTTAACTGTGTTCCTAACAAGTGTCATGTGTGTAATAATTGCTGCTTTTACTAAGAGATGTGACTGTTTTATGGAAGAAAAATCAGCCACATCTCTGCTCCGTGCATAGAGCCCTGTGTTGTTAGAAAACACAGGGCCCTGGACTGTGATTCGCTAAGCCGTAAGCCACATGTACTCTGTTGTACTGTTATGTTTTGCATAAATATATGAAAATCAAAACATTAGCTGTTTGGAGAGCTGCCTATTGTTTATTTATAGAGTATTATTCCTGGGTCTTTCTTGAGGAAATCCAGAATATGGTTCCAGCACCCGTATTCATGTAATTAACCCCTTATGCCCTGATGTTGTGATGTTGGGTGTACATTAGCTTGCCTTTTGTTTTATTTGTTCATGTGGGGAATTTGTACTTGTTCAAAATAAAATGAATACATTTCTTCATCTGGGTATGTAAATTGTAAAAAGCAGCAACGCAGTCACCAATATAGGGCTATACTAGAGGGAAGAATACCAACAGTACTGTATATTTTATAAAAGCTGATGCCCTTTAGAAAGGATCTTACTTTCACTATGAGAGTCTGAGCTTCTTTTGGTGTCCAGTGGGGGCGCTAATGCTCTTTCTCGACTTCCATTCTGCTTCTGTTTGTGCCGTGCGCTCTCCAGGGCTCTGAGCTTCCGTGCATGCTTGTGACCCTTATAATGAGCTTCAGCCTGGTTCTGTAAGACATAGGGAAACGAGGAGGATAAAAACATCTGAAAACTTCAGAGAGCCCAAGATTATTATTATTATACAGGATTTATATAGCGGCAACAGTTTGCTCAGCTCTTTACAATATAAAGGGAGGCAATACAGCAACAATACAGTTCAATACAAGAGGTATAGGAGGGCCCTGCTCCTTGGAGCTTACAATCTAAGAGGGATGGGCTGGTGGTACAAAAATAATATCTGTGGGTGATGAACTGATAGGAGATATAGAAGATTTGGTTATTAGCTGAAGGCAGGATAGGCTTCCCTGAAGAGATAGGTTATCAGAGATTGCCTAAGTTCCAGAGGAAGGGGGAGGCTCTGGAGAAGTCCTGGAAACAAGCATGGGAGGAGGAGACAAGGGAGCTAGAGAGCAGGAGGTCGTGGAAGGAGTGGAGAGGATTGTTTGGGTGATATTTGGAGAGAAGATTGGTGATGTATTTGGGGCAGAGTTATAAATGGCTTTATATGTTATTGTTAATGTTTTGAATTTTATTCGTTGGGCAATGGGAAGCCAGTGGAGGGATTGGCAGGGAGGGGTGGCAGATACAGAACGGTTAGTAAGGTGGATGAATCTGGCAGCAGCATTCATGATAGACTGAAGAGGGGATAGCCTGCAATGAGGTAAGCCAATGAGGAGGGAGTTACAATAGTCAAGGCGAGAGATAACAAGGGAGTGAATGAGTTGCTGAGTAGTTTCCGTGGTTAAGAACGGGCGTATCTTGAAGATGTTGCAGAGGTGAAGTCTACAAGATTTGGACAGTGATTGGATTTGGGGCTGAAAGGACAGATGGGAGTCTAGGATTACACCTAGTACCTTGGCATGAGGGGAGGGACTGATGGTTGTATTATTGATGGAGAAGTCAGGGGAGGGGGCATGGGCTGGAGGGAATAGTATGAGCCCAGTTTTGGAAAGATTTAGTTTGAAGAAGTGGAGTTACATCCATGCTGATATGTCACTTAGTAGGTTAGTAATGCGAGAGGAGACTGAAGGGGTGAGGTGAAGAGTAGAAAGATAGATTTGTGTGTCATCAGCATAGAGATGGTACTTAAAGCCATGGGATAAAGGTCAAATCTGCAACTATGGTAGCTATACAGTATAACAATCCAATATATGGTTACATCTACCTCAATGCTTTACAATTTGTTGGAAATTATTGAAACAGTTTTGGGAAAAAGCTTGCGTACACAATTTCCTGCATTTGGTGGAATTTCACCTATGGATGACAAGTGTTTTGCTGGCTTTTCAGTTAGATCTGGCCGTAAGCTCATTGATAGTCTACGGGCAAGTGGATGTGTCCGTTTACATCTGACCACCGCCAAGTCCATCTAGGTTAAAAAAAAAAAAATTTCTACGTCCTTTTCCAGTTCTGATTTCAGGCTGGAGGTTGATATCTGTGTACATTCAAGTACACAGATATCACAAAAGTGACATTAGTTCTGTTCTAGTCCAATTCAGCATGGGATCTGCTTAGGGAACAGACGTCACTCAACTGAAAGGACCTATTTTATGCTGCATGCCTATATGCCTGTATTTACATCCGTGTGCATGATCTCTCCATGTATAAGACATTCTTTGTTCAGATGTGACAAACATCTCCTCATTCAAATGAAGGTATATTGATAAGGCCTGCACTCCAAATTGTGCTTCTTCTAAAGTCCAAAGTCCCTTTATTGAATCATCCATTGTGCATTTACTGTCATAATGCTTCCACCCAAAAATCCATCTCCTCCATTCGCACAATTTGAAAACTGATGTACTATCTCCATTATGTGAGGTTCCTATATTGTCAGTGCCATCTAGGGGCCACAATACTTTTTTCTGATTGAGGTATTTCTCGGGAAAAAAAAGTATTATGAGCACTAGGTGGCACTGACGATATATAGGAAGTACACAATTTAGAGAAAAAATGGCAATTTTTGTTCTGATTGTGCAGATGTTTGTCAGACACAGTAAACATTTTATACACAGACACTAAAAATTCCAGGTTAATATAAATAATTTGTAACACTTGCTGACCGCAATACGTATATATACTGCTCAAAATAACTAAAGGAACACTTTGAAAACCCATCAGATCTCAATGGGGAAAAATCTCATGCTGGATATCTATACTGATATGAACTGAGTAATGTGTTAGGAATGTAAGGATGCCCCATCGTTTGATGGAAATGAAAATTATCAACCTACAGAGGACTGAATTCAAAGACACCCCAAAAATCAAAGTGAAAAAATTATGCAGCAGGCTAGTCCATTTTGCTGAAATTTCATTGCAGCAACTCAAAATGGTCCTCAGTAGTTTGTATGGCCCCCACATGCTTGTCTGACAACATTGGGGCATGCTCCTAATGAGACGACAGATGGTGTCCTGGGGTATTTCCTCCCAGATCTGGACCAGGGCATCATGGAGCTCCTGGACAGTCTGAGGTGCAACCTGGTGGCGTCAGATGGACCGAAACATGACATCCCAGAGGTGTTCTATTGGATTTAGGTCAGGGGAGCATGGGGGCCATTCAATGGTATTAATTCCTTCATCCTCCAGGAACTGCCTGCATATTCTCGCCACATGAGGCCAGGCATTGTCGTGCACCAGGAGGAACTTAGAACCCACTGCACCAGCATCAGGGTGCCATTGTCTAGCCCAGCAATGGGCAAACTACGGCCCGCGGGCCGTATACGGCCCGGCGGACCTTTTAATCCGGCGCGCGGAGCTAGGCTCCCGCTAGGCTCCTCTCACAGTCCGCCCTGAAGACCGGTGTAGCGTGAAAATCTGTCTCCTATGAGGATCTGTCCCCCTCGACGTATCTGCGCATGTGCCGGAGATCGCCGATCGGCTGCTAATGCCTGAAACTGGCACATGCGCAGATACGTCGAGGGGGACAGATCCTCATAGGAGACAGATTTTCATGCTACACCGGAACGGCGCGGGAACATGACGAGAGGAACGCGCGGAGCAAAGGTAAGTGAATTGACACAGGGGGGACTTGGGGACTTAATATGGGGGATGAATTAATATGGGGAATGAATTACTATATGGGGGATGAATTACTATATGGGGGATGAATTACTATAAGGGGGATGAATTACTATGGGGGATGAATTACTATATGGGGGATGAATTACTATGGGGGATGAATTACTATATGGGGGATGAATTACTATGGGGGATTAATTACTATGGGGGATGAATTACTATGGGGGATGAATTACTATGGGGGATGAATTACTATATGGGGGATGAATTACTATATGGGGGATGAATTACTATGGGGATGATGAATTACTATATGGGGGATGAATTACTATGGGGGATGAATTACTATATGGGGGATGAATTACTATATGGGGGATGAATTACTATGGGGGATGAATTACTATGTGGGGGATGAATTACTATATGGGGATGAATTACTATATGGGGGATGAATTACTATACGGGGGATGAATTTACTATACGGGGGATGAATTACTATATGGGGGATGAATTACTATGGGGGATGAATTACTATATGGGGGATGAATTACTATGGGGGATGAATTACTATATGGGGGATTAATTACTATATGGGGGAATATTACTATACTTACTATGGATGACACATACACATCATTCATCTACTCTTGGTCCGGCCCCCGGGTCCAATATATGAACCCATTGCGGCCCTCAAGTCAAAAAGTTTGCCCACCCCTGGTCTAGCCTGTAGAGGTATGGGCCTCCCTCCATGGATATGTCTCCCCAGACCATCACTGACTCACCACCAAAACAGTCATGTTGAACGATGTTACTGGAAGCATAACATTCTCCACAGCTTCTCCAGACCCTTTAAAGTCTGTCATATGTGCTCAGGGTAAACCTGCTCTTATCTGCAAAAAGCACAGGGTGCCAGTGGCGGACCTGCCAATTCTGGTGTTCAATGGCAAATGCCAATCGAGCTCTATGGTGCCGGGCAGTGAGTACAGGGCCCACTAGAGGATGTTGGGCCCTCAGGCCACCCTCCTGAAGTCTGTTTCTGATTGGTCAGAGACATTCACACCAGTGGCCTGCTGGAGGTCAATTTGTAGGGCTCTGGCAGTGCTCATCCTTTTCCTCCTTGAACAAAGGAGCAGCTACCGGTCCTGCTGATTGGTCAAGGACCTGCTGCGGCTCTGTCCAGCTCACCTAGAGTAACTGCCTGTCTCCTGGAATCTCCTCCCTGCTCTTGAGACTGTGCTGGAAGACACAGCAAACCTTCTGGCAATTGTTGTCCATCTAATGCACCTGTTTTCATTAACACCAAAGCAATTGAAAATGACTAACAACCCTCTCTACTACTTATCTGACCAGATCAATATCCCAGGAGTTTAATTGACTTGATGCTATACTCTGATTAAAAAGTGTTCCTTTAATTTTTTTGAGCAGTTACAGTATATGGTGGCCTAGCAAATATGAGGCATCATCGCGAACATTAAAGCGAGAGCAATAATTCCAGCGACAGATCTCCAGAGTAACTCTAAACTGGTAACCTGTAAAAGCTTTTAATGTGTTGTCTGTGGAGATTTATAAGTACTGTAGTTTGCCGCCATTCCATGAGCATCCACAATTTTAAAGCATGTTAGGTATCTATTTACTTGGAGTAACATCATCGTTTATATTGTACCAAGCAGTTGGTTATTATATTATGTTTTGTGCATTAAAATTCATGAAAAAGTATTTTTTCCAAAAAAATTGCGTTTCATAAACTGCTGCCCGCATTTCGTGTGAAATAAAAAATTGCAACACACCATACATTTTTCTAGGGACTCCACTTAAAAAGAAAATATATAAATGTTTGGGGGTTCTAAATAATTTTCTAGCAAAAAATACAGATTTTTACATATAAACAAATAGTGTCAGAAAAGGCTTGGTCTTCAAGTGGTTATATCTGTACATGCAGGTAGCCATACATGTTTATTACATACTCCAGGCTCTCCTTCCTGCTTTGCACATTGGTT